ACCATCAGCATCAGCGACGTGGTGCTGGCCGACGAGGGCGAGTACACCTGCTCCATCTTCACCATGCCCGTCAGGACAGCCAAGGCCCTGGTCACCGTGCTGGGTACGACATGGGCACAGCCCTGAGTGTGCCACCTGGCTGGGAGATTGCCCTCTGTGCCTAAAATCCAGGCTGTGCCACCCTTGATGAAAGATTGCCCACTGTGTCTAAAATCCAGGCTGTGCCACCCTGGCTGAAAGGTTTCTCATTGTGCTTAAAATCCAGGCTGTGCCACCCTTGATGAAAGATTGCCCAGTGCCAGGTGCAGGATTTGGGGTTCCAGGGCAGAATTTGGGTTTCCAGGTGCAGGATTTGGAGTGCCAGGGGAAGGATTTGGGATGCCAGGGGAAGGATTTGGAGTTCCAGGTGCAGGATTTGGGATACCAGGGCAGGATTTGGGGTTCCAGGGCAGGATTTGGATTTCCAAGTGCAGATTTTGGAGTTCCAGGGTAGGATTTGGAGTACCAGGGGCAGGATTTCGGATCCCAGGGCAGAATTTGGAGTGCCAGGGGAAGGATTTGGGACGCCAGAGCAGGATTTGGGATGCCAGGTGCAGGATTTGGGATGCCAGGTGCAAGATTTGGGATGCCAGGTGCAGGATATGGAGTGCCAGGGGCAGGATTTGAGCTTCCAGGGAAAGAATTTGGGGTGCCAGGGGAAGTTTTTGGAGTACCAGGTGCAGGATTTGAGGTTCCAGGGGCAGGATTTGGGATGCCAGGGGAAGGTTTTGGGATCCTAGGTGCAGGATTTGGGATGCCAGGTGCAGGATTTGGGGTTCCAGGGCAGGATTTGGGGTTCCAGGTGCAGGATTTGGGATGCCAGGGGAAGGTTTTGGGATGCCAGGGGCAGGGTTTGGGATACCAGGGCAGGATTTGGGATCCCAGGGCAGGATTTTGGGTCCCAGGGCAGAATTTGGGTTTCCAGGTGCAGGATTTGGAGTGCCAGGGGAAGGATTTGGGATGCCAGGGCAGGATTTGGAGTGCCAGGGGCAGGATTTGGGATGCCAGGTGCAGGGTTTGGGACACCAGGGCAGGATTTGGAGTACCAGGTGCAGGATTTGGGATCCCAGGGCAGGATTTGGGGTTCCAGGTGCAGGATTTGGGATGCCAGGGGAAGGAT